TCAGTGCTTGTGTATATTTGTATATATTATGTGTGTGTGTTGTATTTGTTTTAAACTAATTGTAATAGGAAATTAGTTTTTGTTTGTTTTAAATGTTGTTGTTTTCTTCTTGTAGCTAAGTATCGTCCGCGTTGTTCTTGTTGTTGTTGTAATTGTTGTCAGTTAAAGGCAAAACTAAAATAAATGTTTGTTAAATCGAATGACAACAACATCAAAAATAATGAAAACAAGTTTGCTCGATGTCGATGTCTATAGATTTATATACACATATATATATATACATACCTTTTTTTTGGTAGTTAGACTAGAACTCTAACTAAACTAACACACATACATATATATGTATATGTATACTAGATGGAATCTTGATTAACTTTATAGAGTTGAGTTAGTGTTAGACGATATTAAGCAGTATCTGATGTCGCTTACATACTCAAACAAGCAAACACACACACATATATATATATATAGTTGTATGTATTGGTGACAATGTTATGTGTATTTGTGTTGTATTAAAAATAAAACCCAAAAACAAAACGAAAACGTCACACAACTTCCCTTGTTTAATGATGAAAAACATAAAGACTAAATACTTGAATTTACAAAAACCTTTAAAACAAAACTATATATAAAAAAAAAAAAAAAAAAAACAAACAAAAAATTCTAGGTGTTTTACAAAATGTATAAAAAAAAAAAAAAGAAAAAAAATTGAGATAAAAGAAATTTTAAGCATAATTTAATTAGCCAAAAAAAAAAAAAATATGCTTATCGATGTAAATTTTAGTCAACTATTTTGGCAGTCAAAAAAAAAAAAACCCACACGCCACAGCCACGCCCCAACTCCCCCACGCACCCCCAAACCAAAAAAAAAAATTACAAACTATAAAAGTTCAAGCCCAACAAAGTTCAAACACTAAAGCAAAAAAAAAAAATGTTAGAGAAATGAAATTTCAATTCATGTTGCTGGATCGAACATAGAAAAAAAAAAAAAAGGCTTAGCAATTTGGACCAAACAACAACAGCAACAACAAATATAAAAAAAAAAAAAACACACTCTCTGAATGAAGAAACACTTTGAACAATATATTTACTGAATATACTAGCAGCATGCCTCACACATATACACACATAACTGCATACTAGATAATACGTATTACTCGTTTCCCAATAATTGTACGGTTAAAACGAAAACAAATGAATATATAGGATATATCAACATAATAGTTAAATGTTACCTACGAAACGAAGGACGGCAATGAAATCGAACACTATGAACCACAACTACCTGTCCACTATTTACAGCACAGCTAGCTCAAGCCCGAGACACTGGCGGACGTATATCGTATATTTTATATCGTATATGGTGTATCAGGTATCGTAAGGCCTATAACGTTAGCGTATATGATGTAATGTATATCGTTATACGGTATATCGTATATAGTATGGTTTATAGTACATGATATATTGGATGGTATACACCGTATATGATATATTGTACATCATATATCATGCATTGTATACTGTATATGTTATATTATATATCGTATATCGTATATTGTGCGGTTTATAGTATATGATATATTGTATATTGTATATCATGTATCGTATACTGTATATCTTACATATTTTATATCGTATGTCGTATGGCAATTGCCTATATGATGTACTGTGCATTGCATACTTTATATCACATGCAGTGTATCGTATATCGAATATCGTATGATCAATATACCGGGTATTGAATATCGTAAATTGTATATGATATGTCAAGTATCTTATATCGTATGTCGTTCAACGTATATGGTATATAGAAAATTGTGTATCGTATAACGCATCGTATAACGCATCGTATAACGCATATGGAGTATGGCATACGGTATATCGTACAACGTATATAATGTAGCTACGGTAGTTCATGACATATACACAGTCTACGGTACATATGTACATATTCACACAGCATATGATAGATGATATGTGGGACTAAAGCCTATTGATAACGAATATAATTGATCATATTTCGAATATCGTATATGCCATATATTGAATATCGTATAGAATATATCGCATTTACAGTTTACTAGTGTTGACGGCCGAGGCAACTACTTTATACTTTTTTACGTATCTTACAATTGAAAGCGAGAGCGTTACTAACTTCCAAAACGGTTTCCATGCCACTCAACACACACTAACGCACACACACACATACACATCTGCAGAGAAAGCCCCTTTTAAAGAGAGTATATACTAAATATACACATATATCTGACAGTGTAGAGTTCAAGTTGATATTAATCCCAAGATAACGACAACAACCACCGATAACGGACCACAGTAGTGCATCAGAGCGCTTTAACCATGATTCATACATTGTTATCGAGATATCGAGAGACATCAACTGTTGCCAGTGACACAAACGGATACGGCATTTTCGATGGGGCGCCACAATGCCCGATACTTTATAATTTCACTTCTACTTCCTCTCCCTCTCACTCTCTCTCTCTCTCTCACACACACACACACACACACAGAGATACTAAATAGTGCACTCTTAGAGAAGTATATTTAAGTGCATAGAGACTATATACTAAGTACTATATACATACATACATACTATACTATATATATATGGTATATGTATATACTATATACTAGCGACCCTCCTGAACTTTCAAACCAAAAGCCTTTAATTAAAACAAAACAAAAACAAAGACTACATTTTATTATACAAGTATAAAAAATCGGGGATAAGGATGAACCAAAACTTTAATGCAATTTTAAATAGAGTACGAGTATTACGAATACTATTAGTATAGCATACTTCGGCAGGCCGAAGCCTAGATGCTCCCTCTCACTCTCTCTCTATCTATTATTCAGTCCATTTCACTCACTCTCCTTCAAGGCCCACACACAGACACAAACAGGTAACAAGTTTTAACCAAAAACAAAACGAAAAGAGTCCTAGAAAACCTATTTAAAAAAAAAAAAAAACAAAAACAAAAATATATATACATAGATATATATGTTCTTTTCGATATATATTTATATATAAATGTATGTCAATGAAAGAAGTCTATATACAGATATATGTTATATATATGTATACTAAAAGAGATCAGATCATAGTTATTATTTATAAGCAGAAGCCGAAGTTACGTGGAGAGCCCTAAAGAAAACTTAAGAAGTTGTTGAGCAAAATAAATGAATATATATATACACAAATAAATACTAAAAGAAGAAAGAAGATAATTATGAAAAGGATATGGAATCAATTATATGGTATACCTATACAAAAGCAAAAGCAGAAGACAAAAGAAAGCAACAGTAACTGGCGCGAGAAACTAACTGAAACACATTCAAAAACTACTCACGAAGAAGACACACACACACATACATACATATAGACATATATGAAATAAACAAGAAAATACTATATTATATAAATAAAAAAAATACTGCAAATTTCTATGCACAACGTGTTGTATAAGTGGCAAATACATACATATATACATACATATATTAGCAGGAGCAGCAAAACTTAAGTGTAAAATACTAAAGCAAAAACAAAAAAATACCATACAAATACCAAATATCTATATATATACATATGCATGCATACATACATACAAGTGTGTATGCCAAGTTTTTTTGTCCCCCATTTAAGAAGCATTGAAAATTGAAATACTGATGACAAAATACTAAAGCAGTTGGAAACTATTTACAAGCGGTATGAGTACAGCACCCACAAAACATTCAAAGTTTTTTTTCAACAAGAAGAAAAAATACACACACAAAGAAATACAAGTACAACTTGTTATTTTTTTTAAAGAATCATTCAAAATGAATCCATAAATTACAAAACTTCACATATATATATGTACTATATACATATATGTATATGTATCTGAGAAATATGAGAAATCTATGTGTACAATGAAATATTTAACTCAAATGCATTAACGACAAAGCAGCAACAATAAACATTTAAGTACTATCATAATATCATATAAATGATATATCTGTATATGAACACTATCAACACAGCTGGTTTTTTTTTAACAAATAAATATATATATTTATTCAAAGAGAAAAACTCACACAGAATATTTTTTTTTTACTAA